TTCCTTAAAAGTGTGATATTCATTTAGGTGTATATACCTTTAATTCTCAGCAGGAGATAGAAATCCAAAATGACTGAGCCAAAATGAAGAATTGCAAAATAGAAGCAAATGACAGATGCCCTATTTCTGAATTAGTCTGTCCTTTCCATCCTGTCTTGACTAGACAATGATCAACAGCTGGGCCACATGCTCCATTATAGTCTGTCGATAGATCTAATCTCTCTACAGAAGTCTGAGAGACCTGGAATACAGATCAAAGCAAAATTTGTTCCCAAAAGACCAACCTGCTCATGGATCAAGATTGTGGCTCTATTACTGTAATTGATGGTACAGATGTGTCTCTTGTGACATGGAAAGGACATCCTTTACATAAAAAGTAATTTCCCCATCTGACACCCTTCTAACTTCCTGCAGATACTCACATCATTAAGAAAAAAAAGGATTTTACTCCAGTATAACTATAGCAACCTAAAAGTAGCAATGTCAAAAAAGCTTTATGCCTGACTTTACTCATTGTATGCAAAGGGCTAGCTTTCTCAGGTCACAATACAGAGGAGGAACATTCACAAAAATCTTTCCCTTGCAACCCCTAGTTTCCACAGATTGATCATTACACGAGCTCTACTCTGACTAAACATCACCTTGTTTAGCCAAACAGAACACTTTAAGCAGCATAGGGGTTGCATTCCTACGTCCCCTGGAATGCAAATCTCCTGTGCTTAAACAAATCATGCTGAATTTCCAGAACTACAGATGGAGATTAGAGTACAATTTATTTTGGTCCAGTTCTCTCCAGGCTTCAGTACCTTTCCATATGCTGTTGACCTTTGTTATGGTCAGCTGGTTGTCTGACACATCCAGAAACCCATCACCATGCTTCAATTATATCCAAACCAAACAGAGTTCCATGCATCCCAATTATACATGGAATTTCCAGATATTTTTATTGGAATAGAATATACACTCTCTCTCTGGAGGGACATATCCTGCTTACCTAATTCTGGATTAGGTAAGTATTAGGTGCAGGTTGGCAAGAGCCAAGGGATGGAAACCCCAGAGTGTGTTGGGGGTGCTGCTGGAGTCTAACCAACTAAAACTGCATAGCTTGCCATTGAGAGCACCCGTTAGGGCTTTGGCTTGCGGAGTTAACAAAAGCTGAGTGGTAAGAGTCTATACTCCAGTGACAGTCCTGCCCTCCCAAGTTCTATCAATGAGCGAGGCTGGCTGTGTTGTCATCAGCAGCGTTCTGGAGTCCTGCAGACCCACCTGGCTCAGGAACTGGACTACTGAGACTGGACTAACGAAACCACAGAGTGTGGGCTCGATTTTAATGTTCTGTTGCCAAAAATGTCACCTCAAAGGCAATTCAGCAAAAGACTTCACAGGTGTTTGAAGGAAATGACTTAATTAAAGAGATGGTTGGGTCTCTTTGCCATTTAGGTACACCACTTAGTATTGGTATAGTTTGGTATTAAATGCAAGCGATTTGTGCTAGCTATATTTTGAAAGCTATGTTCTGTGGCTGAACAGTTTGCATCTATGCAAATCTTCCCATAGGTCTACTATGCATCGGAAAACATATGGAAACACACATCTGTGAACAAGGTGTATTTGAAAGAGAAAATTCACTCAGCTGTGCTGAAACTTTATCTATCTGCTAGGGACACTACAGCCCTCTGGCCTCAATATCGATTTCAGCCACTTCAGCCACTTTGTCCCCTCCCACTCTTTCTGTTACCAGAAGAGTTATCTTCTATTATCATTACAATCATCACCCCAGACACTCTTTGTCTCTCTCTGGTGTGTTGCCTGTTCTGCACTATTAACACCTCTTCTCCCCAGTTTTGTTTCAACCCAACCCCCCCTTTTGTTTTACGCCACTATTACCTCTTTAACCTTTCAACTAACACATTCTCTCCTTTGTCTTCTTTTTTGTCTTCCTTGTCCTGCCCCCCCCATCTCAACTTATCCTTAAAAACCTCTCCCTTCCAACATGCCCCAGTTCTGACGAAGGGTCGTAGATGCAAAACGTTGACTCACTTTCCTTTCTCCATAGATGCTGCCTGACCTGCTGAGTTTTCCCAGCTCTCTCCCTTTTTGTTTCAAATTTCCAGCATCTGCAGTATTTTGTGTTTTGTTAAAGTCTAGCTGGAATCTACTACATTTAACATGCTAATTCTGAATTCTAACAGGCAATGATACTAAGTAGGAATGGACTTAAAAAAGGCCATTTCTAGATCACTGGTGACGAGTAAACTTAAGTAAACTGCACAGACACAGTAAACTTCTGCAAGATTTTTTGATTTGTAATAGTAGGATGAATGGTGCAAGTTTACTGAGCTAAAACAATTGTCTTTTGATGCATTTCCACTCGTGCTCTTTTACCTGAAGAATCTGAATCTCTTAAAGATAAGATCACACCCTGCTGACAGCTGAGAATGTCAAGTGAAGTCACATTCCAGTTCTCAGTGGGCTCAAGTCCACAGCATAAAATTGCCAATAAATTTGCTACCCAAATAGGAAATCATACTAAAAGAAACCATAAAGATAAAGTATAGGAAATGAAATGTCATGCCAGTACCATGCAGGAATCTCTCCTGAGATGCATTGTCAAGACAAAGTAGACAATGTCTGCCTTGGATATGCTCCATGTCAGACTGAACATTGAACAAATATGATGTTTTCGCAGAGTTCAATCTGGGAAAGTATTCAATTTCCCAGTTTAGAGTTTCCTGAAATAAAACATTTGCATACAAACCAATATGAAACAAATAAACTCAGAAGTCCCATGAAACAGCAATGAGAGACATCAAATTAACAAGACTTTAAAAACACAGCTACAAACACTGTGAAAAAATTGAGATAACTGAAAATATATTCCAATTTTTTGGATTAATAACCATTAGGAATGAATCTTATGCAATTCCAAAGTATAAGTGACCCAGAGGTCAAGCTGTCTAAGACCCATTTAGCCCTATTAAATTCTACGAAGGTTACAATGAACATAAAGGCAACAGGAACAATATCTTCATGCTGTCAACTGCAAGAGAGCCAAATTTGCACTTAATGTCCAGTAAAACACAAAATTACTTTCAGAATCTTTATAGAACTAACCACATTCACTTCATACTTAAATATTTGCTGCTCTGGTTTCTGAGGGATGCTGCTGTATTCTGGAACAATTTCACATATGTCAGTGGACTTTTATGGAATTTAATTCAGCTGAATTTAGCTGTTTGCAACTATCTATGTGCTAGATAGCATGGTGCTGCCTCATTTATTACAACCAGAAATATGAAGTTGTTTACAATTTTATATATTAAATGTAATCAATTAGAATATTTTCTGATCATGGCTCAATATAAGCATTACAGTGATATACAAAAACATTAGTGTGAGCTGTGTCCTGCTGACATTTTGTTTTGCTGTGAATCAGCACCACAAAACCTCTGAATTTGTTCTCACAAAGCTTCACTTTACCACAAACATTTTAAGCCTGTTTGTGGGCAATTTTCTAATGCTAAAAGGTTGTAATTTCCTAGCTACATTTGCTACAAAACATGCCAACGGTAATGGAGAATTGCTTTAATGTTATATACTGCTGCACATGGTTAGTTTATTTTGTTGTCTGTATCCTGAGGCAGTTGATGTAACAGATACATGTCTCAGCTGGCTCCAGAGTAAGGGGGGAAAAATATGGTTAGCACTAATGACCACCTTGTTTACAACATCTTTTAATGCACGATGAAAGGAAATATGGTTACACACCATTATATCGGTCTGAAAGCTTCTGTCATCCATAGAGTGTAAGGATACTACTTTCCTGCTGAGAGGGAAGATCATGAATTTGTATGCTAAGAAATAAATAACGACTGGTCATTATTCAAACCAAAGTTGATGTATTCGCTGTAACAGCTACAGACAGGTAGACTTCAGGCCGTTGTCAGCAAGCGAAATGCACAGGTTTTTGCTGCTAGCACAAAGTTGGATGCACCGGCATCTCTGTGGGTCCCGTCATTAGTTTGTTTTAAACAAATGACTGCAACAGACCTTGAGAATTTTAACTTTGAAATAGAATGTATTGCTTATTTTAGTCAATGATCTGGATTGGGAATCCACTGCAGAACATTCAACTAAATTTAACACTGAAATCTTTACAAGGAAGCTCTTTGAATACAATCATGTGATATGATAGGCAGCTCCAAAAATAAAGCTAATAAATCACAAGGGAGTTACAATTAATCTACAGTAGTTTTTTTTCATCGTGTGAATAAATAATAATAATCCTTGCATTTGATATAGCGCTTTTCACATCTTCTAGAAGTCTCAAAGAGCTTCACAATTTGTGGGTGAAATGTCTAGACATGCCTGGACATCTCATATTGTAATTATAATGCTAGCAGGCGTTTAGGTGGAATTTGTTTTCAACAAATCTATTTTTTTCCTTCTTCAAATACAACAACAAAACATCAAAACCAACATCACCTAAAATAGGGCAGTTATTCAGATTGGAATATTGTAAAGCACATAGCAAATATTCACTATACACAATAAACAACATCAAGAGTATTTCAATATACCAAAGCAGGCAATAAAATTAAGCCCAAGTTGAAAGTCTATAAAAATACATAATCACTACATGTCACAATAAATCCTGTGAAGGACTTTGAGTTGTCTTTCTGATGCGAAAGATGCCACATCAAATGCAAGGATTATTAAAGCAGAACCTCATACTGACAATATTCTGTACTAAATAGAACTAAAGGCAGGGGAGACTAAGATCTTCAATGGGCCAGAGGTAGGGGAAGCGGGTTAAGAAGTGAATAATATTTGTATCTAATATGAATGATATTTATCAGCTTCATACTTGTCTTCTCCAATGTTTTGTTCACAGACCTCTCCAGTTCTACCTTCCTTAAACTCCAGGTCATTAGAAAGTCCACACCCCAACATGTTCTCTTACTTGATCCCTTTGAAAACTCATCTAATAAAGTGCATATTCAAGCTACAAAAAGGAGATACATGATAGATGAAATTATATTTCAACTAGTGACTGTAGTTCAACTTGTGATTAATATGCACGACAGAGGAGAGGGAATGAATCACAAAATCAGTGATAGCTTGATCTCTGTCAGGTTCTTGAGCCAACTTGTCCATAGTTTCTTCATTATTGAGGTGGAAATTCAGGATTTCAGTTGTGTAATCATGCGGATGTGTGGCAAGTTCTATGTAAATCATTTCTATTGTTCTGGCAAATTATTGCTGCTTCCAATTTTGGATCAGCCAACAAGATTGCTTCTCATTTCTCATCCGTTTATTCAGCATTGTGTTTTAAGGTTCACGTCCCATGGAATGCCTGGAATGAGCTCTTCCACTCCATACAAAATAATATTGAATAAATAAATTCCCACTCTCTCCTGAGAAATAATAATCTTAACTTTAATAGGTTTTCTTTATTTTTGTTAAAAATAATCTGCTGAAGCTGTTTTGTAATTATGATTATTTCTGTGTTAATTTTTCGTCTCCACTGGTATTTTCACGACATTCTTGTTATAAACATTAATGAAAAGATATTGGGCTCATGTTCAGTAGATAAAGTACTGATGAATAAGACAGTTTAATTAAATTAGGATCTCACACGATTATTCTTCTAAATAATACCTTTAGGTCTCTTAACTTCCCCCTTGGTAATTTTTATACCATCCATTGAATAAATGTACATTGTGGATTCCTGTAACGCAGTAGTTAGAGCAATTGGCTCGCAAGCAAGAGGACCTGGGTTTGATTCCCGGGCAGGTTGAAGCCTTGGGCAAGTTTCCTTACTCCACACACCTCGATTCACCTGGCAGTAAATAGGAACCTTAGTCGATTGATGGATCGCTTTTCCAGAGATAATATTCCCTTCAATTTAAAAAAATAAATAAATTAGTAACTCAATCTACGACTGTTTATGGGACACTGCGGTGCGCATTTGGCTGCCGCATTTCGTCCACAAAATATGCAGTCAATTCACTTTACAGTATATTCTGTGAAGCACTTTGAGACACCTCAAAGACATGATAAGGCGCTATATCAAATGCAAGGATTATTATTATTATCCTCTTTTGCTTCATACTTGCATTCATTCGTATTGAACAGCATTTTGCTTGGTTCAGCCCATTTGTATCACATGTGGAGGTCTCTATCACCACAGATTCCAGTTTCTCCCCCTGGCTTCGAGTACAAACCTGCAAATGCAGGTAATCGCTCCTGAGGCATCTCACTCAATTGTTCCGTCCTCACTTTTCAACAAGCTATGCTTCCAAATTCTGTTTTTTTCACTTTAGCCAGTTACAAAGCCCCAACCAGGTCTTACCCTTGTAACCCAGTGACTGTTCATCAAGGCATCTCTCTTGTGTTATGTTTTGAAAGCCTAAGTGCATGGTGTCAATCATGTAACTTCTCACTGTCAACTGATGAACAAGCTTGTCAGAAACTAAAGACAGACAGATTTACAGAGGGTGTGTTTGGTTTTCTGTCAGATTTTCTGTCTGACTGTAAGTGACCAGCAGACCATGCAAATGATCAGTTGGCACGTAAAAGTAAACGTGTCCATGGCATTGAAATAACAGATCTATTCTCCTCTTGCACGACAGTTTCAGCAACGCAATAATGGGATCAATTTTAAATAATTTAAAAGAAATCCCGAAGGGAACTCCTTCTGGAAGTAGGTCATGCAGACTTGAGAGAACCCTGCTCCGAAAATAGACGGTAGAGTGGCATTCTCATATCTATCTCAACTACATTCTGATTTCTTAAATTCCATCAAGAAATACTACAAGAATTCACCTCAATGTATGCACAGTGATTGTCATTTGGATACAGAGCTTTGTATTTGTATTTTCCACCTTGGATTTGAATGTTAAATTATTTAAAATACTGATTTGTCTAGAATGTTACATTTGAGAAGCATCCCTCATTCTAACACTTTAGAGAAGCAAATAAAATAACACCCCCTTGTAAAGAATTTAAAAAAAATCAATTCCACAACATTTACTAAGGTTCAATCTGCATCAAAGTAAATAGAAAGCCCAGTTGAATGCTCAAAAGACTCCTGTAGTAGAAGAATGGTTGGACCCAGATTGCTCACCCCAATCAGAAGGGGACAGAACAGTTTTGGAGCAGTTTCTTCATATTTGTTGACAGCTTACTTAAATATTTTTAGGTCTGAATGCAACACTGTCAGTGGAGTCCTGTAGCTCAGTGGTTAGAGCACTCGCTTTGCAAGCGAAAGACCTGAGTTCAATTCCAGGCAGGGCGAAACCTTGGGCAAGTTTCCTTATTCCACACGCCTAATAATAATCCCTCCAAAACCAAAATCAATAATAAATTGGTCATTTTCAATCCACGACTGTTTGTGGGACATTGCTGTGCGCAATTGACTGCCGAGTTCGCCCACAAATATACAGTCAATTCACCTTACAGTGTGTTCTGTGAGGCGCTTTGGGACGTCCTCCTGACGTGAAAAGCGCTATATCAAATGTAAGGATTATTATATTATTATTATTAGGTTCTGTTAGCTTTAATTACATGTGAGAAAGCACTTCTTGTTCACACTAATGTTCATCAAATCTAAAAAAACTTAACTGAATTGTATTACACATGTAAATGTCACATAAGTGAGCCACGTTTAGTGGTACATAGTATGTTGTGTCAAGTCCTTCATGTCTCTCAGGTAAGACAAGTACTAATTGGTGATTAGCATCAAAATTCTAATCCACTGCCTCTTATTTCAGGAATACTTAAATGGCCTCAGTGCCCAAATCATAATTTCACCTTAAAATAATAAACTCTAGACAAATCAGTATTGGTTTCAGTTCTGAATGTTATAAGCCAGTGCTCAACTGTGACAATGCAGTGATTTTCTACAATAATATTTGCACTGTTAAAACATATTTATAGATTGTAAGCCCAGAAAGTTCTCCACAGTGTATGCATACAAAGGGATGTCTGGCTGTGAATTACAGAATTCTGACTCGGAGTTCAGCGAAGGAACCACCCAGGCTCTCTCCTGTGATTTGTGAAATCACCTGAACTTCTTGATTGGGTTACTCTCTTCCAAATCACTGATAAATATCCAATATTCTATGTGTAATCGATAGACTTACCTGTAGAACAATCCTCACCCCACCCCCAGACACACACATACCCAACAACAACTTCACGTTGGTAAGATGTCCCAGGGCGCTGGACAATCACGGGTTTTGGACCTGAGCTGGGAGTTGCTGGGTGAGTGGCTGGTAACCCAGCAGTTTATGGCAATTTGTAAGGCAGGTTGCCCCAGATTCAGAGCGTATTCACAGGCTCCTGGGAAGGTAAAAAATGCCCTTCAAAGAGAATACTATTTTGTACTCTGAAAATGGGTTATACGGTTAGATTTAAAAAAAGCAGCTTTTATTCAACTTGACCTTCTGAACACATTACAAAAATCACACAACGAGGAGCAAACCATTGGCCCCACTGAACCACAAACTGAGGCTAATAATTTCTTAAACTGACCACAATGGCTCATTAGTTTCGGGAGGTGGGGGATCAGTCGGATGTCTCACACATATGGAAACCCACTGCTATGGCATCTGAATTAGAGAGTGAGCGAATATGTAATTTAGGCACCTTTAGCTTCAACTATTGTTGCATGTGTAAAGGCAAGATAGTGTTGAATCTTGACACACCACTCACCGTCAAACTTCTTATGTCTTGAAACAAATGTTGTGCGCAGAAAATGACTAGTTTCTTCCACCATATTTTCAAACTCCAGCTTGCTCTGCTGGCTCAACTTGTCCTCCATTTCTGAGCTGCAGCACGTGTACCCTTGTGTGCATATTCGCAGATGTTCCCCTGTAAATATATAGAGGACGAGAGTTAGTACACCTATGTGGGTATCCATAAGACCAGCCTTCCAGTTATAATGCATTTGGCTTAGGTAAAGATAGAGCTTTGTATTGGGAATTGCATCTGTTAGTTTCGTTGGTGTGGATCGATCTACGTTGTATCCATCTCCCAGAGAACGTTCAATGTTTTAAAAATAAAAAGCAGCAACAATGGTTTCCCTTCAAGCTCACAATTAAACAGATTTCTGGTTCTGGAGGAAATGCAAGTATTAAAGGACACGTGAGCACCTTCTTTCCAAACTGAATATAGACAGCATGATTGAAAGAGATTACTAAATATCAGGTTTGGTTTTGCAGTCAAGTCTATTTTCTGCTAAAACAGTGTGAAGTACCCCAAAATATTCCAATAGTTCTCATTGAATCACCCTTGTTTGCATAATCTAAAATAAAACACAAACCATTTTCACGCAATAATGTTATTATTTTTTAAAATGCTAGAATCATCAGCCGTACTGGCAAACATTCTAGTTTAATTTAAATGTTGTATTTTATCTGATCTTTGAATTTGGTGAATATTTAATTGATGCAGGAGAGACATTAAGATGCTTTTTGAAAATGACAGATCCAACAGGAATGCCTAAGAAAACATCCTTTCAGCCTGCACTAGAAGGTCATTCAACAACAAACTGAACACAAACTAGATTGCCTGAAAATCCATTTTTCAGTTTGCTTGAATATGCATGTATGATACAAAAGACTGAACCAATAATGGTTGGGGTTAAAAGTAAACCTATATAATAAAACTGAGATTACATGCTGGAGAGAGAAATAACTAATGTTAAAAATAACTTTCAGTTCTGAATAAATGAGAACAATGGCATTGTGTCCAGTCTAGTAAAATCAAGAGTGTTCCAGGAAACTAACTAGCTTAACTATTGCCCTGTGTGATGTTCAAATCAATTTTCAGTTGAAATTATGCTGCACAATCATATCCAGTGCTAGTTCAGTACTCACACTGTTTTTTTATCATGAATATTTATTTTGAACACGCTATGAAACTCCAAGACAGGAGGAGAGAAGAGAAAAGTGTACATCTCCTTTGGATATCCATGCATTTCTCAATATTGGAGTTTTCTCAAATATACCACCTTTTTACTTTTCAAAGTCCCCAAAATATTCCTCGGAAATTTCCTTGTGCTTCAAAATACAATTTTTCATCACCCTTCCCCCATCCTCATGGTGTTCAAATCAAATGGTAGTTATTGAAAACTATTAGAAGTGGCAACAAAACCAACCTTTTCTCCGAAGTTGTGAAGCTTAGAAAGAACTGAAATGAGGAAATAGCAAGATCACCTAAAAAGTGGTCAAAGAAAGAAAACACCATTGGGTCAAAAATACAGCATTTCTGAATAATAATAATCCTTGCATTTGATATAGTGCTTTTCACTTTTCTAGTCATCTCAAAGCACTTCACAGAATATACTGTAAAGCGAATTGACTGTATATTTGTGGGCAAAACACGGCAGCCAATTGCGCACAGCAGTGTCCCACAAACAATTGTGGATTGAAGTGACAAATTTATTATTTTTTTTATTGAGGGATTATTACTAGCTGTGTGGAGTAAGGAAACTTGCCCAAGGTTTTGCCCTGCTGGGAATCGAACTCAGGTCTCTCACTTGCGAGGCGAGTGCTCTAACCACTGAGCTACAGGACTCTAGTGGGATTGTTTAATAAGGAATCAATTAGAAATTCTCAATGACCCATAAAAACTGTGCTCCAAAGGTAAATAGGGTCAGAATGGAGTTCCCACTGGTTGGCGTGATCTACGCTCAGTCACCATAAACAATAAACATTTGAAATTCCTTATTAAGGACTCCTGTTCAAATCACAAGCATTTTAGAGCCCTATGCATTTCATGGTCACTGCACAAGTAAAGCATTTTCAAGAAAATCCAGTTTAGCATTTCAGACAATTAAGCTACCTTAGCATGCCTCATCCTCAAACTTCTCACCAATTGTACAGTTTATACCCGAATGCAACCACAGAGTTAGCCCACAATAAAACAGCACAGATCTACAACTCTTAATTTCAGCTTCATTGAACACCGCATGAATAGTACATAACTAATGAACTACTCCAGGGCTTTGAAATCCACCTTGAGTGGTATGCAGAGAGGTAAGCAGCTGCTGTTTAAGCTCCAAACCTCCAACTACTCATCATTCACTGAATAGGAATTTGTGTCCAAGTGGTAACCAGGAGGATGGTGACAATGCTTTTATGCATTTCCTGTTATGTTGTGCTACCAACCAAGAGATTCACAAAGAGCACCTGGCACTTGCTATTCATGCAAGGACCTACTACACTGCTTGTCAGATGTCACCAACAACCACTGCTGTCCTGACAGCATGTCTGTCAGACATCGAGTCCTGGATGAGAGCTAACTTTCTTCAGTTGAACGTCAACAAAACCAAGGCTCTCCTGATTGGCTCCCGTCAGCGCCTCCACACCTCAGGCTCTGACAGCATCACCATCCGTGGTTGCACACTCCACCTTACTAAGCCAGTCCGGAACCTTGGGGTCTTGTTTGACCCTCAACTATCCTTTCTACCCCACATCTATACCATCACCCGCTCTGCCTTCCCCCAACTCCGCAACATCTCCCAGCTCCTCTATTGTCTCACACCACAGGCCGCCGAAACCCTCATACACGCTTTCATAACATTGAGGCTTGACTGTGCAAACTCCTTGCTTGTCGGCCTCCCCACCTCCTCCCTCCATAGGCTGCAGATCATCCAGAACTCAGCAGCCGGTGTCCTCTCCCGCACCAGGCTTGGTGCCCTATCACTCCATCCTCGCACGACTGTACTGGCTTCCCATCACACAGAGGATACAGTTCAAGATCCTGGTCCTCACCTTCAGAGACCTCCATGGCCTTGCTCTCCCCAAACTATGTGACCGCCTAACTCTCTACCATCCTGCCCACTCCCTCCACTCAGCGGGCTCCGGCCTGCTTCATGTCCCCTGCCTCGCAGGCCCCACCATAGGCGGGCGGGCCTTCTGCCACTCTGCCCCCACCCTCTGGAACTCCATCCTGCAGTCCTTCCACCTCGCCCCCTCCCTTGCCACCAAAACTCATCCCAAGACCCACCTTTTCGACCGGGCTTTCAATCACACTGGATCCACCCCGCCCTCCACCCTCCCCAATCTTGACCCCCAGCTCTGGTCCGAAGCACTGACGGTCCAGCGCCTTCGGACGTCCTCCCAACATAAAAGCTACGACACAAATGTAATTTTGTTGTTGTCAAATGACGAATTAGCGTTAATCTTCTGGGTCGGGTGGGGGTGCTGAAGAAGTGGGATCTTCTTGGGTTTTTGCTGGGCAACAGAACGTCAAAATCAGGCAGACCATCTGTTGTAGTCTCAGTAGTCTCGTTCCTGAGCTAGGTGGGTCTGCAATATTCCAAGGCATTTTGATTAGATCAGTCAGTTTGGCTAATTGGCAGGATTTGGAAAGACCAGTCAATGATGCAGGGATTCTTCCCACTCAGCTACTGCTAACCCTGCAAGGCAAATGGCCAACGGGTAATCCTATCAATAAGCAGCAGGAAGCTTACCAGACAGCGAGCAAAATGGCAAGCTTTTTGCAGTTTTGAAATATTGACAATTTAATAAGGCACTATATCAAATTCAAAGATTATTTACGTTTATACAAATGTCTTTTTTGGTATATTGAGTAGTCCAACTTAACCGCTTTAAGATCTCATGCTTGTACTTCTGCATGTTGGTATCACTCACAGTAAAAATAGCCTGCCTCCATCTGTAATGCAAATGTACCTCTACTGTCATGTACAGTGTAAGAATTAATAAAAAACAATTACTGAGAAAATTGAGAATCCGTATAATTCAGGAACCCACATCCCTTTCGTATGTAGGATGTTCCTTGCACATGGTTTTATTATTTTATTGAGAATCAAGGTGAATGACCAACGCCTGTAATGCAAGACATCACCATGGATGAAATCGTAGGAGAGAAAATGAAACTTTTATATTCTTTTTAAGATTCTTTAATGTAATCTAATATGCACAGAAACTCTTTTCTACATTAGTTTCCTGTTTCAACTGCTCAGATATCTTTTTGCTAGGTCTGGGTCAATATGCCTCTCTTGTTTACGTTCATAGATCACAGGTGCTATTGAAGAGGCAAAGTATTTGGGTTTTCAAACACAGATAATGCTGGAATTGAACTAACTAAAATCAAGTAATTCACCAAAATACAAGTTTCCTGCTGCCTCTTCAACTTGCACCACTCTAAATTTTACAGCATTGGTTCAAAGTTATTAGGAGCTGAGCGGAAGAATCCCATCCCAGGTTTATCCCTCCAAGTCCCATGGTGAGACTGGTCAGCAGTTCAATAATGTGTTGGCTTACTGCAGATCACCATGGCTCAGATTATAAAATGGAAAATTAAGAAGTGAACATTGCAAAACAATACAATGAGCTTACTGCAGTGAGGAGGAAGTTCAGAGGAAGAATAATCATGCCAGTATTAAAAATAGAGAAAGACAGAAAAGGTTGCAACAGAATGAAAACGTATATGCCCTACTGCTTGATTTTATTTTTAAAAATCAAAAGATTTATCAATAGTTAACATTTCAAAGTACTTTGGGGAAAATAGTGGCAAACTGCTTTGTCAACTTTAGAAATGGGTAAAGCATCAAAAAGCTGCTTTGACATGCCAACATTTGATTCTACAAACTTTCAAGCAAAGAGCAGCTTGAGGGGCAAAATAAATCTCAGCAGAACCACAATATCCCATGTAGAAGGTGTTACACACAGCGTGAATTGAAGTGTAGAGAAAAAATATGAAATATATTAAATAAAATTCTGACAAAAATTGTTATGTGCAAACAAATGCATGTATGGATTGAATACAAGGGATTAAGAATCCTATCAATGTCAAATTAGGTTTATAGATTTTTTCATTCAGGAAAAGGAGAAATCTAGCAG